TCCGTTCTTAACCTGAAACTGTTCTTAGCCTGAAGCACCACTTTAGCTAATGGGGCCTCCTGCTGCTGTCGTGCCGCCGGAGCACCATTTCTGTTCTCATCCTGAAGCAAAGTTCTTCACCCGAGGTACTATTTCTGGGTTAGCGGAGTCTGTAACCTGAAGCATATGTAACCCGAGGTACCACTGTATACATTTCCATTCGAAGCAGGAGATTCTTGAAATATCTGTGCTCCCATACTGGTCTTTGTAGATTAGTTTTCATAGCTCATCTCAAACAGATAATGAGGGTGTTATCTGCGTCTGAAAATACGTTCACTGTACAAATGGGGGGGGGGGACATGCATCAATATTTAGGCAGGTACACTGAGGCTGAACATTACTGGCTCTATTTGTGAGTAAAATGTGTTGAAGATGAGTACAGTGTGGATCCTTCATGTCTTTTCTGTGAACCAATGAATAAAATTTCTATAGACTCCCATTCATCCATCAAAGGTGTACACTGCAGTCCTGTTTGGCATGGGAGGGAAGTTTGCATTGGTGACGGCTGGATTTATGTGTGCCAAATAGCAGGCTTTGGAGGCAGTGAGCCAATGCTGGTAGCCCCTTTCCACACCTGCAATTTAATGTTTTGAAAAGATTCACCCAACCACACACTGTAATGTAATTTGGCCTAAAAGTGAGTGGAGGTGTGACATGACTACTCTTGCAATATTTCATATAGGCCAGGGTGGTCCAACCTCTCAGACCAAGTGGGCCGCAAGAGTACTTTGACATAGAACCCGGGGGCCGCACCCTGAATGAAATTTCCATCTCGAAAATTAAAGTGTTCACAATATACAGTGGTACATCGGGTTAAGAACTTAATTCATTCTGGAGGTCCATTCTTAACCTGAAACTGTTCTTAACCTGAGGTACCAGTTTAGCTAATAGGGCCTCATGTCTCCGTCACACGATTTCTGTTCTCATCTTGAAGCAAAGTTCTTAACCCGAGGTACTATTTCTGGGTTAGTGGAGTCTGTAACCTGAAGCGTCTGTAACCCGAGGTACCACTGTAGTTAATACTATTTAATACAGGCAATTAATATATTTAAGGGTAAGGACTCCCAAGCATAATGAGACCTACTCCCGAGTAAGCATGCACTGAATCAGGTTGCTGCTCTACAATCCATAGAACAGAGCTGCAACTCTGTGCACCCTGACCTGGGATTAAGCCCTGCTCAGGTCAAAATGCAGGGCAAACCTCATGCGTTCCTACTCAAAAGCAAATGCCTTTAAGTTCACTGAGATTTACTCCCGGGTAAATGCATAATGTACAGGGCTGCAGCCTTAAATATATACGCAGAGTTATCCAGTTGCCCAATACCAGTGTAGGGGAAATACCTCTCTCGCATTAAATGCATTATTATTGTTATGATTACAGTGGTACCTCGGGTTACATACGCTTCAGGTTACAGACTCCTCTAACCCAGAAATAGTACCTCAGATTAAGAACTTTGCTTCAGGATGAGAACAGAAATTGCACAGCGACTGCAGCAGGAGGCCCCATTAGCCAAAGTGGTGCTTCAGGTTAAGAACAGTTTCAGGTTAAGTACGGACCTCCGGAACGAATTAAGTCCTTAACCTGAGGTACCACTGTACTTTGTTACACGGTGAGGCCGTGGGGGAGGAGGGGGTTGGCCACGTGGCATTGCAGAGGTTGAGGGAGACACAACAAGCACTTCTACTGCTTGTTTTTGTGTGTTCCTCACAGCAGCAACAGCAAAAGCTGGATTCAAGCCACTTTTAAGAAGTCCTGAATGTTGCGGAGGGCCACCAAAAACCACCTCGAGGGCTGCTTACAGCCCCCTGGCTGCATGTCGGACCACTCTGATATAGGCTGTAACTCTGATTTGTAGTAGGAAGAGTCTTTCATTCTGAGTATCATTCTGAGTATTCCTGTATCACCTTACCAACAAAGATCCGTATAGTTAAAGCCATGGTTTTCCCAGTAGTGATGTATGGAAGTGAGAGCTGGACCATCAAGAAGGCTGATCGCCGAAGAATTGATGCTTTTGAATTATGGTGCTGGAGGAGACTCTTGAGAGTCCCATGGACTGCAAGAAGATCAAACCTATCCATTCTGAAGGAAATCAGCCCTGAGTGCTCACTGGAAGGACAGATCCTGAAGCTGAGGCTCCAATGTACTTTGGCCACCTCATGAGAAGAGAAGACTCCCTGGAAAAGACCCTGATGTTGGGAAAGATGGAGGGCACAGGGAGAAGGGGACGACAGAGGACGAGATGGTTGGACAGTGTTCTCAAAGCTACAAACATGAGTCTGACCAAACTGTGGGAGGCAGTGGAAGACAGGAGTGCCTGGCGTGCTCTGGTCCACGGGGTCACGAAGAGTCGGACACAACTAAACAACAACAACTTTCCTGCATTGCAGAGGGTTGAACTAGATGACCCTCAGGGTCCCTTCCTACTCTACAACTCTGTTATTCCTTCTTGTAGGTGGTTGTAAGGTTAAATGGAGGCAGGAGGAGGCCTGTTCTTTCCTGAAGTTTCGTTCCAACCATGTGTTATGTCCCAACAGAACAATCTTCTGTTTGGAGTTAGTAAGCAAGTGATTTCTCTCTTTCTCTAATCCTTAAGAGACTGTGTTGAACCTCACCAAGCAGCAAACTAGGGGAACGATTGTGATTTAAGAGCTGAGTCGTGTGCCGTTCTTCCAGGTTCATACACGCCACAAATTGTCACCCCACTGATCTGCGGTGACTCCAAGAGTCTCCAGCAAATGGGGCTCCCAGACCTTCTAACTCAGATCGTTTAGCTGAGAGTGCTATGGATTGGGCCTGGGAATTTAATTCATGGAAAATAAATATCCACAGGGTTTAAGCCCCTTCTTCCTCGAGCAGGAAAATGTATTTTCCTGTACAGTGAGTTGAGAAGCCATTATCTTGCTTGCGCAAGTTCCTCCACCAATTCTCCGCTCAAAACAAGTTGAATGCTTACAGTGCACAAATTATATATGCGGCAATATATGAGACAACTCATAGGCTCAAAGCCCTGAGCAAAATGCCACTGTGCCACTTTGAGAGGCAATAAACATAAGATCAAATTATGAGATGGAATGCAGGAATGCCTAATGTGAAATAACTCTCTCACTCCGCATTAGACACCAGGAAACTTGCAGCAGTGGTACTAGTGTGCTGCTGAACTTGCGTAAAGTGCGGCAAAAGGTGGGAGGCAGACCCTGTCGCCTCTACTCAGGACCAACAATAAATGGCTGGCTGACACGTTGGACTGGATTTTTTTGTGAACTGATGATAGTGGGACATGAGTATATGGAAGCAGGGCGAGAAAGAATTAGAGGCCTTATGTCATGGCAAAATCACTCCAATAGTATTTTCTTGCACCAATTTCACACAATGAATCTTTTTCATCGGTGTTTCTACAGCTGGCATTTCCCATGTATGGAAAAAAATATGCAAGGCCCCCTGATGTGGTTAATAACTGCTCTCACCGCATGGGGTACATTCATAAGAAATATACACCACATGAAATTGCTGAGACGAAAGCTACCGGGAGCTCAGCAAAATGAAATGGATTGCAACCCAAATACAGTGGTACCTCGGGTTATATACGCTTCAGGTTACAGACTCCGCTAACCCAGAAATAGTGCTTCAGGTTAAGAACTTTGCTTCAGGATGAGAACAGAAATTGTGCTCCGGCGGCGCGGCGGCAGCAGGAGGCCCCATTAGCTAAAGTGGTACCTCAGGTTAAGAAACAGTTTCAGGTTAAGTATGGACCTCCGGAACGAATTAAGTACTTAACCCGAGGTACCACTGTAAAAGGGAAACAACATGGCTGAAAGCAGGATCCACTCTGAGCACCGAAGCATTTTTGAGCTTACTTTAGAGTTGTTGACAAAGATTTTCCAAACCAAGCTCGAAAACTAAATTCGGAGGCTCTTAAAAGGCCACCACAAATGAGAGATGAGTTTTTGGAGCTGCAGGGTGTATTCTCCATCCCATATGAGAATCTGAGCTGCGGAAGAATTAGGGGCTCGTTTTCCTGGCACCTGCTGTTCCCCAGACCCCCAAAACACACTTTCCTCCTACCCTTTGCTCTTCAAACAGCAGGAGAAGCAACAGCCATGCCATAAGAAGGATTGAGGGGGGAGAGCTTCCTGAGATTGTCTTCATAATCTGGGTAACACAGCATTAGGGTGCAAAGCTTATGGGATCTGGGGAGACGTAGTTTTTGTGAGGACTCCTGCAATTGCAGTAATGTCTTGTGATCCTCTGCTAACTCAAAGCAACAGGGCATTGTAGAATGAGAGCCCTGCTGAATCAGACCAAAGACCTTTCAAGTTCAGCATCCTGCATACAAGAAGCCTAGAAGTCTGAGGGCAGTAGTGCTCCCTGTAGCTGGTATTCAGAACCCCCAACCCTTCCATTTTGGTTCCGCTGCTGCATGTAACACAAGGGGTGCAGGGATCAGTTGGCAAAAAGATCTCAGATACAGTATTTTCGAAATTAATCAGAGGCAACCTTGGGCCTGCGCACCCACCTTCAGTTTAAATCCATTAAATGTCAAAGCTGCTTGGTGAAGCAGATTATCTGTAAGTGTACGTTTATAAGCAACATTTAGGGTTTGGACATACAGTGGTACCTTTGGTTACGTACTTAATTCGTTCCGGAGGTCCGTTCTTAACCTGAAACTGTACTTAACCTGAAGCACCACTTTAATGGGGCCTCCTGCTGCCGCCAGAGCACGATTTCTGTTCTCATCCTGAAGCAAAGTTCTTAACCCGAGGTACTATTTCTGGGTTAGCAGAGTGTATAACCTGAAGCGTATGTAACCTGAAGCATATGTAACCCGAGGTACCACTGTAATGTTAAAAATGTGCTTAATCGTCAATGGAAGCAAAAGTTTCTGATCTTGTTGCTTTGGAAGGGAAACAGGGCCACGTGAGACCAAAGCTCCCCATACTTTGTTCATAATGCTGAACCATGGTTTGCCATGGTATTCAAACCAGACCAATGTTGATGTGAAGAAGAATATGCGAAGCTGAATTAAAGTTTTAATAATTAAAAGAATTAAACATGGCAATTGCCTCAGGAGCATGGCATGAGTATTTACAAAATCTGCATAAATTTGCATACAAATAATACAGTAATCTTAAAGCATTATTTCTTGTTTTAAAATGCGGCATACCACATGTCACCACATGTGCCTCTTGTGTGAGAAGGGGAGTGGAATGATGATCCCTGTTTAATTCATTGAAATGTTTTTGTTTCCTAAGTGCCCAATTAGTTAGGGCCAGCTTGTCAACTGATCAAAAAGTTTTTAATTAATCTGATGTGAATGTGCATTTGTAGATTGGCACCTGAATGTTCCACTCTCCAACTCTGCCCTGTGTTTGGTTGTTCATACGTAACCTTGCAGAATAAGTACCTACTTGGTTGGACTGAGAAGGCTTAGTTGACAGAGCATGACAATCTCAGGGTTGGGGGTTCAAGCCCTATGCTGGACAAAAGATTCCTGCATTGCAGAGGGTTGGACTAGAAGATCCTCAGGGTCCCTGACGACACCGCAATTCTATAATTTTCAATTTAGTGGGGCTTACTTCTGAATAGACTTTGCAGAAGTAGATTTGAGCACCTACTAGCGTTCATACCTGGCCGATCTTGGGGGGGAAACTATATTCTGGATAACGAGTTAGAACGTGTTTTTACAAGCAAGTCCTCGCGTTCAGGTACTTTATTTTAAATTTGAAACTTACATTTTGATTTATGTTCGTTTACAGAAAGCCATTGACTCCCATTGAATCTTTATCCATGTAAATGGATTTTGGGCTTCAGCTGGATATCGTCACATGTTGCCTCGAAGCATGTGCACAGAAACCCACATAAACTTCGATACTTAGAATTAGCCAAATTGACAGACATAATAAGACAAAACCCAAAAAGTGAAGTAAAAAAAGAATGGGAGTGCCTAAATGAATACCTCAAAAGTCAAGGTTCGAGGCCAGAAATCTGGCTGAGTCTGGAATAACCTTGTGAAGGGAAAGGATATGAAAGAGGGATTTATATCTAGATGTTAGGATAGAGATGATAAGGAAAACAGGAAGACACAATGAGAGATAAAGGAGGTGCTGTGGGATTGGTGAAAGTCAATGTCTTGTTGTTTTAGTGTTTATAATATTAACTTGTAAGATATGGATTTTATTTTTTGGCTGCTTTCGTTTTAGAATGTTGATTTTTGTGTGTTGTGTATTGTTATTTTTCGATATCTTTCATGTTGTTGTTCTTGTGTGGAAAATACTAATAAAATTGATTTTTTTTAAAAAAAAGAAAGAAACCCACATAAACACACTGCTCCCCCCACTGGTTCCCATGTTCATTCTCTTCCTCCACTTGCTGTGGGTTTTTCTTTTTTTATATAAAAGTGTTCTGCGTGGTACAGCATACAGGAGAGGAGCTGGGGCAGGCAACACAAAGATGGCTGCCAGAAGCGGCCATTCTGTTAATCAGCAGCATCTTCTGACTTAGGATTTGCTGAATGGTTAGACAGAAAACCCCACCAAAAACACGAATGGATTGCCTTGACAATGCCCCATTTTCACACGATCTTGACTTCATTCTGGCTGCTGAGCTCTTAGTGTCTATGGTTAAGTGTCCAAACATGAAATCCCTCCACATTCCCCACTACTTCTGTCTTCCCGTGTGTCTTAATTTTTCATCCTTTCCCCAGTGCTTTGAAAATGGACCACTTTGTACACATCATAGCCTGATCTTCTCATAGTACGAGGTGGAAGGGAGTCCACTGTCAGATAACAAATCCTTTCCCCTTGAGCCACCACAGTCTGCATTACAAGCGGGGACCATTTTAGGCATGCCCAATTAACACGCGGTCGCCAACGCATGGGTCCTTTTGGACCCAGAAGAAGGCAAAACGGGCATGCGTGCTTATATGCACTCTGCCAACATGTGTGGGGGTCTGAGGACCAGGAAAGGAACCCCTGCACAAAATGGTCACCACCTGTATTATGACTAAACTTCCACCCATTAATTTCACTGGGTCTACTCTTAGTTGTATGCAATCCCTTATGATTGCTTTGGGAAATACAAGTAGCACACCAGTGTTTTCCAGAGCAAACACCTAACATGTAGACATTGCAGATAAGTGTACATGCTTCTTTACATCACTTTTCACATATCTTAAGAAACGCCTGTTCCCCACCCCTAGCAGCTGTAATGAGTGAAACTGGTTTAATTCAATCTCCTCCATTGGGACAAGAGTTGCCTGTTGTTGTTGTTTAGTCGTTTCGTCATGTCCGACTCTTCATGACCCCATGGACCAGAGCACGCCAGGCACTCCTGTCTTCCACTGCCTCCCGCAGTTTGGTCAAACTCATGCTGGTAGCTTCAAGAACACTGTCCAACCATCTCGTCCTCTGTCGCCCCCTTCTCCTTGTGCCCTCCATCTTTCCCAACATCAGGGTCTTTTCCAGGGAGTCTTCTCTCCTCATGAGGTGGCAAAAGTCTTGGAGCCTCAGCTTCACGATCTGTCCTTCCAGTGAGCACTCAGGGCTGATTTCCTTCAGAATGGAGAGGTTTGATCTTCTTGCAGTCCATAGGACTCTCAAGAGTCTCCTCCAGCACCATAATTCAAAAGCATCCATTCTTCGGCGATCAACCTTCTTTATGGTCCAGCTTTCACTTCCATACATCACTACTAGGAAAACCATAGCTTTTACTATATGGACCTGCCTGTACTGTATTTCAAAATCTGGCACAAATCTCCAAGGACCAGTTCAGATAGTCCTCAAGAAGCAGGAATCCTTACTGTGCTTGAACTTTGTCCACAACGCCCAAGGGCCACTTAAAATTCATTACAATTTCCTAAATGCCAAAAGTGATGGGTTTTGTAGCATAAGGTCTGTCCTCTCTGCAGCTGCTTGCCTTTATTAACCCCTGAGGCTGTGCTGGCCTTTAAGGAAAGTAGAACCTACAAAACCCACAACCGGGCAATACCTTTAAGAAGACACACCAAACTCTCAAAACAGTGTCCAAACTTTTGAGTTCTGTGTGTCTCTTAATTGAGCTAGATGCTACGCAGAACAGGGGTTGGAGGATTAAGTAGAAAAATAGAAAAACAAAAAAATAGGGTGGATGTTATAGTCCTGGTGTTATAGGAATTAGACAGGGCTTCTTCGAGATGCACACTATTTTGCCAGTTGGATTAACACGCAGACCAACAGATTTGGTTAAAGTGGATTTGTCACTTGTGCACACACACCCTCAAAAGAACAACAAAAACAACCCAGACTTTGTAGGAAGAAAAGTGAGGGATAACAATTCCTTGATAAGACTTAATTTCTCTCAGGGCCGGATTTAGGTTTGATGAGGCCCTAAGCTACTGAAGGTAATGGGGCCCTTTATATGTCCAGCTGTCCTTTGTCAACAACAAATTGTCACTGTTTTTGTGTTGAATATATGCTATATGGTAATTTATGGACCTAATAGGTACCTAAAGCTATTTGCATGTAACAAAATAAATATGTATTTTATCAAAGTACTGTAATTGTTGAACTGAAATACAATTAAGAAGAAGCATATATAGAAATGAGCAAACCAGTGATATTTTAGGGAGCAGTCTAGCAGGTGGGGCCCATTACTTACATCATAGGAGCCTACACAACACAAAATACTGTTGCTGTATGTAGGTTTTATTTTATTTGTTTTCTATCTTATATTTTGGAAATGTACATCCAGGTTTTCTTTAATTTTGTTTTTGGGGCCCCCCAAGAGAATGGGGCCCTACGCTATAGCTTTAGCTTATACGTAAATCCAGCACTGACATCTCTGCAAATCAGGATGAGTGTTCAGTAATCAGAAGGATGTTATATAACCTCCCTGCAAGCTTTGTGCAAACAAATCGTGATGGATGCTCAGTAAAAAGGTCCCTCAGTTCCAAGATCAAAATTATGGGCTGAATTAGTCTCTGCTAAACGCTAAAGGTAATCAGATCACTGCTCTGCTTATTGACTGCTATATCCTTAATCATTCATTTAGATGATACTTTGGATGAAGTGACAAGGAAAGAACTGTGCACAGACACTTTCTGCAAAGTTTGTGGAGCTGTACTGCAGTTTGAATCGCAAAGGGCTGCACACTACGAGGTAAGCTTTTGGAGCGGAATATGTCACTTGTGTTTCCTGCACACACACACCCCTTAACTCCTAGCAAAGGACATTTCAGTGTTTCCCAGTACAGGCTCAATTTCCTTGGGAGGAGAGTCCACTAGAGAATTGTAGCATTTGTAGAATATCTGTTCATTTATAAATATTCAAACTGAATAGGCAGACACCCAGACATAGAGTGTTGCACTTTGAAACAGTTCATTTATTTTATTTGTTTATTAAATTTGTTGGTTGCTTTTATCTTGCCCAGGGCAGCCCAAAGCACCTTACAAACAAACAACATAGATAGATAGATAGATAGATAGATAGATAGATAGATAGATAGATAGATAGATGATAGATAGATAGATAGATTAAAACCAAGGGGTTTTCTCCAAAAATAGGCAGCATATTGGGGGGGGGACTGTCTCCTCAAAGCCACCTGCAAAAACTCAGACTTGTCTCTGTGGGTTGCAGTACAAGTCATGCCCACAAATGCCCTACTTCACCCTTGGCTGGTAAGTCTTAAGAATCCCCATGAGCTTGTAATCACCATCCACAATTGTTCATTGAAGAAACCTGTTCTAGCCATCTGTGCGCTTTGACCCATTGGGAAAAGATCAAGTAACGGCTTACATCATCGCCTGACAGCCGTAACGATATTATCCCATGTAAGATGCATATTCATGCTGTCCTGCCATACAGTCACTTCTCCTAGTCCTGAACACATGTTAATATAGGGCCACAGCTATTAATTTTCCTAAGACGCACACCCCAACCCAAGTACAGTGGTACCTCGGGTTAAGTACTTAATTTGTTCCGGAGGTCCATTCTTAACCTGAAACTGTTCTTAACCTGAAGCACCACTTTAGCTAATGGGGCCTGCTGCTCCTGCCGCACCACCAGAGCACAATTTCTGTTCTCATCCTGAAGCAAAGTTCTTAACCCGAGGTACCCTGGAAACGATGCCTTATGAGGAACAGCTAAGGGAGCTGGGCATGTTTAGCCTGGAGAAGAGGAGGTTAAGGGGTGATATGATAGCCATGTTCAAATATATAAAAGGATGTCACATAGAGGAGGGAGAAAGGTTGTTTTCTGCTGCTCCAGAGAAGCGGACACGGAGCAATGGATCCAAACTACAAGAAAGAAGATTCCACCTAAACATTAGGAAGAACTTCCTGACAGTAAGAGCTGTTCGACAGTGGAATTTGCTGCCAAGGAGTGTGGTGGAGTCTCCTTCTTTGGAGGTCTTTAAGCAGAGGCTTGACAACCATATGTCAGGAGTGCTCTGATGGTGTTTCCTGCTTGGCAGGGGGTTGGACTCGATGGCCCTTGTGGTCTATTCCAACTCTATGATTCTATGATTCTACTATTTCTGGGTTAGCGGAGTCTGTAACCTGAAGTGTCTGTAACCCGAGGTACCACTGTAAAATATTTGTCTTGTTTCATTGCTAATAACATTGCTTTGGCCAGTGAAATCAACATATTACAAGGCATGGGATCCATTTTTCTTTATCCCGCGCCACTTTGATTTAATCCCTTCTCTAAGCCAGCTTGTTAGTTTTCCCCTGAACATTTTAGCATCGGCTGCTGTGGACGTTCTGAGACGTTAAGTAGCCTCTGAACTGTCTGTGTTGTCATGCTTCCTTCTCTCCCTTCTCCTTGTCCTGCCTGGACACTTGAGCCTCTGCAGGCACATTGCCTGAGGAAGCCCTGCACCAAACAAGACAAGAAAGGGGCGGGAGCTGTGCTAGGCCGCCGAAGAGCTCTTCCATGGCTCCCATTCATTCTGATGGGGCTCATAGGTTCTGTAAGGAGAGTCGCGAGCCGTCCTGCATCCCAGCCAGCCATGCCTTGGCCACAGTTGGGATGCGAAGAAGAAACTCTCTAGCAGAGCTTAGGTAGTGGTCAGGCTGGCAGAGGAGGAGACAGTCTCGTAAGTATCTGGGGTCAAGCTATTTAATGCTTTAGAGGTTACCGCAAGCACGTTAAGCTGGCAAGCAATTGCTGCTGTTGTGAAATGGGGACAATATTCTCTCACAGCTAAGGAATTCTCTCTTTTTAAAAAAAAATGTTTAATAATTTTTCATTAATAACATTGCAATTAATAACATATCAAATCATGCTACATCACATAACAAATAAAAAGGCCAATTACAGTGGTACCTCGGGTTAAGAACTCAATTCGTTCTGGAGGTCTGTTCTTAACCTGAAACTGTTCTTCACCTGAAGCACCACTTTAGCTAATGGGGCCTCCCACTCCCGCCACGCTGCTGCTACATGATTTCTGTTCTCATCCTGAAGCAAAGTTCTTAACCCGAGGTACTATTTCTGGGTTAGCAGAGTCTGTAACCTAAGCGTCTGTAACCTGAGGTTCCTTCGTTTTCTCCCAATATCATAGTTCCGATCTTAACCCCTTCTTATCATCACAGTCGCTGTTATGGGACTTTTCTATCATACTTATCAAGTCCATATTATGTTGACATGCAAGAGGGTTTTATTCTCCTTGTTATTCTTCTAGCTAAGGAATTCTCTAAACATTGCAGTTCTCCAAATTTTTTTCAAAGGTACCGTATATTCCAGGCCTTACTCATTTTATCTCAAAAGAGAACCCCAAGGTGCATCCTAATATAATATAAAACCAATCCTTCTGTTTTCCAGGGCAAAAGGCACGCTCAGAAAGTCCGGCTTTATTTACAGATGCATAGTGAACAGAAGGATGGGCAGGAGCCCAGCAAACAGAAGTTACAGTATGTGAATTTCCAGGTAATGTTATCTCATCCTCAGCATAAGCCTGGCAGGCATCAGAGATTGGGCCAGCAGCCAGTTTGGGGAAGACTGTGACCACCTTTCCTGTGCCTGATGCCATCAGAAATGGGGAATTTCAAGCTGTGGCTAAAGTGAAGAAGAGCCAGGAGCATGCCGTGCATGGCAAAAAGGCAAAGGTACCAAATTCAAGAGGGACGCAGGTGGCACTGTGGGTTAAACCACAGAGCCTAGGACTTGCCAATCAGAAGGTTGGCGGTTCGAATCCCCGTGACAGGGTGAGCTCCCGTTCCTGGGTCCCAGCTCCTGCCAACCTAGCAGTTCAAAAGCACATCAAAGTGCAAGTAGATAAATAGGTACCACTACGGCAGGAAGGTAAACAGCGTTTCCGTGCGCTGCCCTGGCTCGCCAGAAGCAGCTTAGTCCTGCTGGCCACATGACCCGGAAGCTGTACGCTGACTCCCTCAGCCAATAAAGTGAGATGAGCGCCGCAACCCCAGAGTCGGCCACGACTGGACCTAATGGTCAGGGGTCCCTTTACCTTTACCTTTACACCAAATTCAGGAAGTGCCAGTGTTTTTGGTGCAAAGAATCAAGAGTATAGTTAGAGAGTGCATTCCTGATTATTCCTTTGAATCAAAAGCTTGAATTGCAGGGAGCTTTGCAGTGCAAATAATCCTTGCCCACAGTGGCATCTGCCGCCCAAAGGGAGTTTGTTGCTCACCTGACGTCATGGTGGAATCAGGTGATTGCCAAGTGGTTGTCCCTAGCCACCTATCAGAATGGCCCAGCCGGGTGGGGGAGCTCAGGATCCAGCCTGGAGTTAGATCTTCTTTTCTACCCTGCTCTATATGGCTAGTTGCTGATTAAGACCGAAACCTTTTCAGACCCGGAATATGTTTTTAATCCTAAACTGCGTCCTAAACCCTGTTGTTGTTGTTGTTGTTTGCACCATATACGCCAGTTTTTCTCCTTTTCCCTTTCCCTTTCTCTGTCCCACTCATTCTCCTCTCAGAAATTGGTTTAGCACTGGTGGATTAAATGTCTTCACGCTTTGATTTCAGATGGACCCAAATGTGGACGAAAACACCTACTGCAGGCTTTGCAACATGGTCTTCACGTCCCCAATAGTTGCTCAATCACACTACCTGGGAAAGATTCACACCAAGAAGATGAAACGGCTGTCGGAAGATCAGGCACAACAGCCTTTGCAGAACGCTCAGCCAGAACCTGGTGAAGACCCAGTGGTTTTTTTATAATAATAATTTTATTAGTTATACCCCAACCATCTGACTGGGTTGCCCCGGCCACTCTGTCCTCTGTCAGGGCAAAGTGGTGCAACATTTTAGCTGAATCCAAGGAACTGTCAGGCTTCAGAGAATCCAATCCCTCCCACGGTAGGCAGCCAAGAAGTTGATAACAAGAAGAGTTCTTACCAAGTCCTTTATTCAATATTCCCAGAGAGAGGCTTTGAGAAGTGCCTCTCCATTCCAGTAAAGGCGTTGCTCCGAGTAAAATCCCACGCCCTCCGTCTCTCCTATCATACCTAATCCTTGCAGAGCCAGTGTGGTGTAGTGGTTAAGAGCAGTAGACCCGTAATCTGGTGAACCGGGTTCGCGTCTCCGCTCCTCCACATGCAGCTGCTGGGTGACCTTGGGCCAGTCACACTTCTTTGAAGTCTCTCAGCCCCACTCACCTCAAAGAGTGTTTGTTGTGGGGGAGGAAGGGAAAGGAGAATGTTAGCCGCTTTGAGACTCCTTAGGGTAGTGATAAAGCGGGATATCAAATCCAAACTACTACTACTACTACTACTCTCCTTCTTCTTCTTCACCGGCTGATCTGAGCTTTCTGCCTCTGAGCTTTCTGCTCTCCTACTCTCAATGCTCTCCAGGAACTGGGAGAGGGTGGGGTGGGGTCTGGCATGCTTTCCAAAGACACTGTCTGTCACCTGTCTCACCTGGTGCTGCTTCTCCCTCCTACTCCTCTCCCAACATTTCCCAGCTTCTCCTCTCTGCAGCCTCTGAACTGTGACCTTCTACAAACCACTGTTCTAAATCTATACTGTCTCCCTCTTCTCTGGGAAGTGCAGCAGGGGCAGTCTCCACCATTCCTCCTCAGTCCAGTCCCTGACAGGAAGAAGGAAAGCAAAATTTCCCTTCTTCTTTGCTCCCTTGTTCACGTCTGCCTGTCCCCTGGTCTTTCCACACAGTGCAGGAAAGGGAAGGGAGAAAGTATTGACTTAGGCCTGCCAACCAGCCACTTGCAGGAGGCTACACCTATAGCAGCTCACCACCAAGTGTATTTGTCATCCAGAGAGTTAGATGCACATGGGATGCGGCATACCGTATTTTTCGCTCCATAAGATGCACTTTTTTCCTCCTAAAAAGTAAGAGGAAATGTGTATGCATCTTATAGAGCGAATGCAGGCGGGAGGCTCTTGCTGGAGCCGCGCGCTCTTTAAAGAGCCATGCCTAGGGTTTGTGCGGCTCTTGCTGGCTTTTCCGCAAGGTGGGAGAAGGGACTGACGGGCTGCCCTCTGTCCCTTCCCCCACCTCCCGCAAAAGCCAGCAAGAGCCGCTGCCAGGCTCTGCTCAGCGCTCCCTTGTAAGGGCTCCCTTTCGTCCCTCATCCCGCTTTGCTGGGAATCCAGCAGAAGAGGTGCTGCGCAGCTATCGCTCTTTCTCTGCTGGTTTCAGCGAGAGCTGCACAGCTTGCTCTGCTGGCTACTCAGCGAAGCGGGAGGAGGGACGGAAGGGTTTAAAGCAAGAAAAGCGAGAGCCGCTTACATTCTCTGCGCAGAATATTTTTTTTCTTGATTTCCCCCTCTAAAAACTAGGTGCGTCTTATGGTCAGGTGCGTCTTATGGAGCAAAAAATACGGTATTTGTATGTCGGGCATTCCTTCTTGATATATAAGAGCTGCACGGAATATATTCTATCAGTGTAACTGAAAGACTCACAGGGCCATTACCGTGTCTTCTCTGGCTGCTTTGTTGGGAGAGCTGACCTTCCTTCCTTGCACTTATTTCCCAGGTCCCTCTGCGGTTCCATCTCTGCCGGAGCCATCTGTTGAAAACGCCTCGCAGGACACTGATGTGAAAGACCCGTCGCCATCCTGTAAAGCCACGTTGGATCTAGACGATCCGGATAAATTCTGCAAGCTTTGCTCGGCGCCCTTCAACAACCCGCTTATGGCCCACCAACACTACGTGGGCAAGAAGCACAAAAGGAACGAAGCGCGCAAGAAGCTGATGACCGAGATGGGATCTGAGGCCGTTCCCGCGGAGTCCCAGGCCAATGGTAAGCAGGCGACACAGGGAGACGCCGTCCATTGAGGGTGGCTCAGAACCAAGCTATGTGGTCAGCAGACTCGTGGGACTTCGTGGCTGTTGCTGCAGCATTTGAGGCAGAGGGGTTCCATGTTTTCATGCTTTCCTGTACAGTGGTACCTCAGATTTCATACACTTCAGGTTACATACGCTTCAGGTTACAGACTCCGCTAACCCAGAAATAGTGCTTCAGGTTAAGAACTTTGCTTCAGGATGAGAACAGAAATCGGGCTCCGGCGGCGCGGCAGCAGCAGGAGGCCCCATTAGCTAAAGTGGTGCTTCAACAGTTTCAGGTTAAGAACGGACCTTCAGAATGAATTAAGTACATAACCAGAGGTACCACTGTATTAAAAAAAATATTCTCTGAACGCGCGACACCATGTCCAGCTGTCAGTTAGTGGAAGACTTTTTCCAGGAATTGGCAGGCAGAGAGATATGGCACAAGGAATTCGGACACGTTTTGGACGTGCCCTGGGGCCATTTTCATTGCAATCTGTTTAACCTGCAGCCCTCTGTTCTTTTAGCAGTTGGAGTGGGCAAGTATATATGCCCCATATGCAACATCAGTCTCACGTCCATAGAAATGTACCAGTCGCACATTCAAGGAAATAAGCATCAGATAAAGTAAGTGTTTTCCCAGGTGTGCATTTTTCTCTTCTCCCCAACCCCCCCACAAACAAGACTGACAAGACTAATGTTTGCAGTGGAGCCTCACAAAGACTGATCTTGGTGGTGGGGGTCTCTGTGCAGTCCTTCATCTGGGTTCAGCTGTCAACTTTTCCCTTTTCTTGAGAGGAATCCTATTCGGAATAAGGGAATCTCCCTTAAAAAAAGGGAAACGTTGACAGCTATGGTTCTGTACCTGCACAGCTTTCTCTTGGAAGGCAGAGGAGAAGAGATTTTTCTTCTCTTGCAAGCGCCTTGCTGCTCAGTTCTCTAACAGCAGTCCTTTTTTTCAGGGACGCAGGGTTACGCATACTCCTAAACATTTTCTGAATCTAAGTTTGGCCTCGTTGAGTGGGCAGTATTTTCAATATGAGTAGGAAAATGAGAGTACCCCTAAACATTTTTTAAGAAAAGAAGCACTGAGTAGCATCAACTTTAGGACATCCTCTCTGAGGAGATGTCTCCTCAGTTTGCTCTTTCAGGTTTTTTAAAATTCCTGCAGAAGATTTCATTGTCCGTTTTATTTACTTCCCCAACTCTATTTTTAATATTTATTAAAGTTTCCATTTTAACAATCCAATAAAAAACCACATTGTTGTTGTTGTTGTTTAGTTGTTTAGTCGTGTCCGACTCTTCGTGACCCTATGGACCAGAGCACATCAGGCACCTCTGTCCTCCACTACCTCCCGCAGTTTGGTCAAACTCATGCTGGTAACCTCGAAAACACTATCCAACCATCTCATCCTCTGTTGCCCCCTTCTCCTTGTGCCCTCCATCTTTCCCGGCATCAGTGTCTTCTCCAGGGAGTCTTCTCTTCTCATGAGGTGGCCAAAGTACTGGAGCCTCAGCTTCAGGATCTGTCCTTCCAGTGAGCACTCAGGGCTGATTTCCTTCAGAATGGATGCGTTTGATCTTCTTGCAGTCATGGGACTCTCAAGAGTCTCTTCCAGCACCATAATTCAAAAGCATCAATTCTTCGGCGATCAGCCTTCTTTATGGTCCAGCTCTCACTTCCATACATCACTACTGGGAAAACCATGGCTTTAACTATACGGACCTTTGTTGGCAAGGTGACGTCTCTACTTCTCAAGATGCTGTCTAGGCCTGTCATTGCCCTTCTCCCAAGAAGCAGGCATCTTTTAAACCACATTAAAACATTCTAAATTACAATGCAATCAAAAAAGCCAAATATTCAATGCCAAATTATCTATCTTTTGGGTGACATCCCATGCTCTGAAGTTCTTTTGTGGTTTTAGTTAAGTAGCATTTAATATGGTGGATAGGGGACGCAGGTGGCGCTGTGGCCTAACCCCCTGAGCCTTGGGCTTGCCGGTCAGAAGGTCGGCGGTTCGAATCCCTGTGACGGGGTGAGCTCCCGTTGTTCGGTCCCAGCTCCTGCCAACCTAGCAGGAAAGCTAATCAAAGTGCAAGTAGATAAATAGGTACCGCTCCGGCAGGAAGGTAAACGGCGTCTCCGTGCACTGCTCTGGTTTCGCCAGAAGCGGCTTTGTCATGCTGGCCACATGACCCGGAAAAACTGCGCACAAACGCCAGCTCCCTCAGCCAGTAAAGCGAGATGAGTGCCGCAATCCCAGAGTCGTTCACGACTGGACTTAACTGTCAGGGGTCCTTTACCTTTTTAATGTGGTGGGTATTGTGACCTTTCTTCATGCTTACAGTGCAGCAGGTGTCTTCAAGGAAGCACAGGGTTTGTGGGGGGAACATAACCACCTCTCATTAGTGTAAGTTCCACTTGATTTGCATCTCCCACAAGTTCACCAGGCAAGCGTAGTGGAATAATGTGTCAAGGCTTCTAAGAAGAGCTGTGCAGGAACAGGCCTATTTCGTCCACCGCTGTTCTTTGAGTCTAGCCAGGTGCCTTTCAGAAGCTTGCAAAAACCACCTCTCTCACACAGTTGTTCCCTAGCAGCAGGTATTCAGAGGAATGCTCTGATCCTGGAAATAGATTGATTTTGTGTGTGTGTGTGTGTGTGTGTGTGTGTGTGTGTCTGCGCAGAGTAACTGATCAGTATCCAATGCCCTAACCAGGGACAAGAATTTGGGTCACCAACTGTTGGAACTCTGTTTTCCTGCTTTACTTTCATCCCCAGTTCCAGAAATTATTTACAGTTGGGGCTGAAGCAAAAGATCCCTTTCAGTTTCTTCTAAAACAGGTATGTGTCGTGGAGCAAGGCTTTTAACAGGAAGATAAGGCAGTTGCTTAAGTTCTTTAGGAGCAAGAAGAGCACCAGGTTAGACTTGGCTTTTGGGTCGCTCTTCATTGCCCACTGAGTCAAACGTTTTCCAGCAAAATCCTGCAGCAGTTTATTTTCAAGTTTGAAGCAACTGCACGTTTGATGGATTTGCTTGCTTTAAAAGATTTCTATACTGCCCTTCATCCAGGCCAGTTTTACAGCAGCACATAAAATGCTAATCAGTGAAGCAGCAGCAAAAGGCAATGCTAAAAATAAGGGATGGATGGATGGATGGATGGACGGACAGACAGACAGACAGACAGACAGACAGACAGACAGACAGACAGACAGATAGATAGATAGATAGATAGATAGATAGATAGACAGACAGACAGACAGACAGACAGACAGATAGATAGATAAGGTATCTGACATCTTAAAAAAGCATATTAATGTAGGCAAGTGAGCCTCACTGGAGAGCGTCTTCCATCACTTTTATGCACCAGGAAAAAATGTTTTTCAGTCATGCTTTTGGCTTTAATTTGGAGAGTTTCAGATAAATGTGGTCTCCTTTAGTGGGTGGGATGGAGGAGACTACTTTTTACGTATAGGAATATTTTTAGCTTTTATATTGCTTTAGTTTTGTATTGGTTGAACATTTGTATTGTGAGTCACTTGTGAGCTCACTTGTTGTAAAGAGAAGTGGCTAATAAACGAAAAGGTCCTTTATCCCAGTGCACCCTACCTCTGTTCAAATGGCTGGGGCACCATTGGGAAGGGATTCTCAGGACAAGGGTAGTAGCAGCAGCAAGAAAAGTAGAGGAGCAGCTCTTAGGTGTGCATCTGAGTGGGTGGCTTTAAATTAGTGTACCCAAATGAGATAGAGGAACACCCTTTGCTCCCCGAGGAAGACCTTTGATCGAAATATGTTGGGAAGTCTTTGCAGAAAAGCCTTGAGGTCTACTTCTTCCATTAAATTATATCACAGGAGAGCAGGATATCAAGTACACTCTCTCTTAATTCAGCTCCTGAATACATACGCATGTACTGGGAAGACAAAGGATTTGTTTCTCAGCAGTGTGAAACGGGCAAAAACTGATCTATCGCACGTATTATGTAAAAGCCCCTTTAAATCCAGACTTGCTTCCCAGTGAAATGTGGGTAGAATAATACTGCAGGAATTTAGGTGGTGCTAAAGTGGAACTGTGGAATGCGGGTGGCGCTGTGGGTTAAACCACAGAGCCTAGGACTTGCCGATCAGAAGGTCAGCAGTTCGAATCCCCACGACGGGGTGCGCTCCCGTTGCTCAGTCCCTGCTCCTGCCAACCTAGCAGTTCGAAAGGAAACAGTGCAAGCAGATAAATAGGTACCATTTCGGCGGGAAGGTAAACGGCATTTCCGTGCGCTGCTCTGGTTCGCCAGAAGTGGCTTAGTCATGCTGGCCATATGACCCGGAAGCTGTACGCCGGCTCCCTCAGCCAATAAAGCGAGATGAGCACCGCAACCCGAGTCGGCCGCGACTGGACCTAATGGTCAGGGGTCCCTTTACCTTTAAAGTGGAACTATAAATCATTCAGCTGACATTTTGGTCCACAGGCGCTTCTTTCTTTCTGACTTCAGCCAATTTGGTTAAAAATCATGTTGTTGTCATTTTTGCTCATTCCCGCCACAATTGTATCTCTTCTCCCTTTTATTCTTGTAGAGAAACCCTGATTTCCAACCTAATAACGAACTCCAAGAAAACATACGGCTCCTTCCAAGATGAATTGGAAGATTATATTAAAGTACAAAAAGCAAGGGGGCTGGAACCAAAGACCCACTTCAGAAAGCCAGAAGAAGAGTTTCAAATGGAAGAGTATGGTGCCATGAATGGCCACGAACGGGGCTTTGGATTTGATCGGGATCAGTTTTCCGGCGACGCTAACACACCAGAGCAGTATTCTGGCATTTTCTCAGAAACATGTCCACCTTTGTATTCTGCTAGCAGCAGATTGTCCCATTGGCCGCCAGGGTACAGAGACCTGCCGAAACTAGAAAATGCACCCGTTTCTCAGCACAGCACAGGTGGTTCCCTAGAAAAGCAGGCATCTCCATTGGCCACCTACAAAAGTGACAATTGCAACCCATCATCCGAATCCGTTGATGGCTACAAACATCTACCTTCCGATAGTAGCTCTGCCTTTCATAGGAGGAGCCAGAAGTCGCCAAAGACATTCAGAAAGGAGGAAGAATGTTCAGGAGAGGAAGACGGCGACCCTCGCCCACCCCTTGCTAAGTTCAGGAGAAAACAGCGCTGCGAAGGAGACGCAAACTTTGGAAAGGGCGGAGAGAAGAGGAAGAGAAAGAAAGAGGACGGCGACTCAAGTGCCGAGTCGAAATCGAAGCACGGTAAGGACAGAGGAAATACAGAGGGATCTTCTGAGAAGGAGAGCAGGAAGCACAAGAAGGAGAAAAAGAAAGCTGAAGCCGGAGGACCAACAGAGGAGGAGATGCTGTGGGATGAATCCATCCTGGGATTCTGAGCTTCTCCTAATGAATGAATTTTTGCGTTCATTTGAACCGTTGTGCACTTTTATGTTTCCATTACTGGTTACTTTCCCTGCCCCCCCCTTTTAATTCCTTGTTCAGGAATAATGAATGACAGGCACAAGATCTCTTAGCAAAGCACTAGGGAAGAAGTGGAACTGAAATTTTGTTGTACTCTATGAAACATAATTTGCCATTTTCAGTACTTATCCTGAAGCAGCGTTTAATGCGTTATGAATTTAGTGTGTAATATTCTTTCCGGTAGCATTTAAATGCAGGTTTAAAAAAACCCAAAAAGCTATGCATTGTCTATGGTTGCAGCGATATCTGTGTTGTTGAAAGCTTTAATATGAAAGTATGGGGGCAGGGAGAGGGTATATTCCATTTCTTCTTTATAATTGTTTTCCCCTTCCAGTTCTGAAAGTATAAAATAACACATTAAACCAAGAAGAGGAAACTAGTTGAATGTATATATATATATACACACACACACACACACACACACCCTTTACATCTCAGGTTCATTTTATTTAGGTATAGTTCTTAATCCTAAACCCCAACACCACCTCATCAAAATCTCTCATAAAGGTTTATTTGACTACAACAGGTTTCACTGTTGAAACTGGGGTGAGGACCTTGCTTTCTGCAGTGCCTCACTGCCCACTGGTGCTTTGAAGCCCCAATTTGAGGACTTCAAAGCACCACATCCCCTGACGCCATTTGTAAACTCAAGTGATTGCCCACCTTTTAAATTTGGCCCACGAGCCAGATCCTGATAGGGATCTGGACCATGGACCCAAAAAATTTCCCCATCTCTGGCTTCAAATGGTGATTGTCGCCATCTCCAACAGGTAAGAGGTGCTTGTAAAGTTCAAGGATGGTTTTTCTGAAAACGAAACACTATTTAAGAGTGTTCAAGGATCGGGGATTAAGGCAGTCAGTTTAAAATGAGAATTAAGATGCCCAGAAATTCATGCCTGCTTTTAAAGGCATGGAAATGGTTGAAGCAATGTTTGCCTTTACTTTTATGTAGACAGTAAAGATGATTTCTGAAAAGCGCTCTCCTGTTTTGCTCCCATGAATGTTAGGTCCCTGTTCCCACAATTCCACCTGATGTTTCACCTGCTCTGCAGGTCAGGCCGAGCACTGACCCTGGGGTCACTGCAATAGAAATGTTTAATATTCAGCTACGAGTTGAAATTAATGGCATTGGATTTCTGCTGAATGGAGAAGGAAACTTCCAAACTGCACATCTCTAGCATTCTCCAAAGCAACATGGATGGATATTTTCGTTCCATCTTTTAAAATCCCGTCATCTTAGAGGAGACCTATTCCTCATTAATTAGTCCTGTGTCAAATCAAGAGGGCAGAAGCAGTGGCTGCAACTCTTATGAACGCTCAACCTTCGTTTGTGCAGATATGTCCCAGCCACATAATGTATATGCACAGCCCCTTTCTCCTCATCGTCCAAGCAGGCACCGTTTTAACATTTCATGGGCACATTCCAACCAGATGAGCATTTGGAAAGTTGGAGCAGGGGAAGAGGAGGGGTGACCCCCCCCCCAGACCACCCTTTCCCGAAATGAGGTTATTCAGCTATATATGCTAAGGTATCAACAAAGCCTGTGCGCAATAACATCCTTGCTTGGAAGCAAAAAGGTATTTGGGAGTAAAGCATGTGTGACAAATGTGGGACGCGGGTGGCACTGTGGGTTAAACCACAGAGCCTAGGGCTTGCCGATCAGAAGGTCGGCGGTTCGAATCCCCGCGACGGGGTGAGCTCCCGTTGCTCGGTCCCTGCTCCTGCCAACCTAGCAGTTCAAAAGCACGTCAAAGTGCAAGTAGATAAATAGGTACCACTCTGGCGGGAAGGTAAACGGTGTTTCCGTGCGCTGCTCTGGTTCGCCAGAAGCAGCTTAGTCATGCTGGCCACATGACCTGGAAGCTGTACGCCGGCTCCCTCGGCCAATAAAGCGAGATGAGCGCCGCAACCCCAGAGTTGGCCACGACTGGACCTAATGGTCAGGGGGTCCCTTTACCTTTTTATGTGTGACAAAAGGGTTGTGCAAGTCAGCCATTTTAAACTCCAAAGCTTACAACATTTTTCTTCAAAAATGCCAGGAATGGACAAATTAATACAAACTCTCTCCAGTGCTATTTTTCTAGGGGGGAAAGGGTGTCTGAACTGAACATGAACTCTTCCCCTTGTTCTCTTAGAATGGCAATGGCACCCACCTGAGAGGTGTCAGAACTGAGTTCTGGCTGGGGGAAAACCACTATCGGCAAACATACAGCATTTGCTGGGAAAATGAGACTTTTGTCATGAGTGCTTGTGTGAACAAAGAACAGCCCTCATTCAGTTGCTAGTAACTTTTTTATTATATATGTACACACACCCCTTTATACACAATAACAAATTATATAAAAAAAAGGACCAAAACAGGTGTCTCCAGTTTAGCAGGAGACACATCTGGATGCAAACAAAAAAATCTTTACATTTGAGTCCGGGGTGCAAATTTATCAATCCCCCAGGAAAGGGGCTCATTCATCTGAATCCAGGTCACTGTCTCCTGCGATGGAATGGAAGTCTTCACTATCTTCCTCATCCTCCGACAGATGAACCTGACTTAACACACTAGGGCCACGCCTCTGGTCCTCCTCTTCTTCCTCTTCCTCTTCCGAGACCTCATAACCCCCAATGCTGCTGAAGCTAGTATCTCGGGTGTTGGATTTGGGGTCTGGTTCCTCGTAGCTACCGTAACTGGAGAAAGATAGAAATTTGATGGTGATGCTTTTGTTATTGATTGTGCATGCTGAGCGCTTTACAAAAGAGAAACCGTGCGGTGAAGGGAAACACGAAAGTGTGGCAGATTAGCGTTTACTTGGTGCTTTTCTGCAGGTTTTTAGCGTCAGGAGTGCCAGAGGATCAGGCACACGTCTAGTGCAGAATCCCGTTTTCAGTGGCCTCTCAGATGCCCATGAGAAGCCCGCAAGTGGGGCTTGAGGACAATAGCATCCTCCCCACCTGTAATTCTGAACAGGTATTCAGAAACAGACTGCCTCTGGCAGGAGAACATAGACTTTTCCTGTTTTTTTTTGTAAAGAATCTAAGCTGGTGGCCATCTCCTCTGGTGCGGGGTTTCCCAAACTTTGGTCTCCAGCTGCTGTTGGACTACAACTCCCATCGTCCCTAGCTAGCAGGGATGATGGGAACTGTAGCCCAAAAACAGCTGGAGACCTGAGTTTGGGAAACACTGCTCTGGTGCAAGCAATACCGCCATAACTCTAGCACTCGAGACAGCAACATTTGGGTTGCTGTGCTAGATGTGGTTATGTATGTGTTCCAGGCAGAAGCCCAGAGACTCTGCTCAGCTTTTTAAAAAGCCTTTTAGAGACAGAACAAACTTTTCAAAGGCAGCTGAAACAGCAATGCATAGGTTTAATGCTCCACGCTTCGTAATTTTTTGTACATTTAATAACTATTCCAAATACACTTTAAAAGGAAAGGCAAGGCTGCGATCCTGCCCATAACTACGCCTATGAATCACATCTACAAAAGAAGCCATGGAATGGCACCCCAGAGTTACTACTAAAGGATTGTTCCGATAGCATTTGGTGATGTTACTTATCTGCTTCCGGCATCACAGCAATTGAAAAAAAGGAATTGTTCTCATTGCTTTAGCTGCTGTGCTTTCTGATGGTTTTGGTTGGGGGTTTTGCTGGGCTTTCTCCCGCTATGTGATTTCCCTCCCCAACCCCTGCCTGGATTTTAGAGTTTTAAATGCAGTCAGCATTTTCTTGTTTGAGCAGCCGGCCCAGAGAACTTGGTTGGATGGAGGGCACGGAAGTGCAATGAGTTAGTCAACAGAGGAGCAGTAAAGAGCAGAGAGACCCAGGCTTCGTAAGCATTTGCACGAGAATTGTTTGAACCGGGCACTGCCACCCTGCATCCGTGAGAGCCAAGCACTTGCTCACTGCTTCCAACAGCACGCTTGTCTATGATTACCTGGCATTGCTGTCTTCCAGGGCATGCGATGTCTCTCCTCCAGTTCCCTCGTAGGACATCATGCTCTCTTCGTTATCCATGCCCATTCGCGTGTTCTCCTGAAGAACGTGAGGCTGCTTGGGTCTCACGGCACTGGACTCCACGTCGGAATCGCTCCCGCTTTCACTGAGCTGAATAGCTGGGCAGAGAAAGGGTAGCCACATTGCAGTTAACCGAGCCTGATTTCCTGATTTTCTCAGTAGTTTAGCATTCTGGCTAAGCTGCAGTTCCAAAACACTCTGCAGCTCAACAAGTCAACTAGGGCTGGGCGATGAGGCATCAATTTATCACCCCAAACTGGTTCAAAGTCCACATCATGGTACTGGTTTCCTAAGATTTGACATGGCAACGTATCGCAAATCTCAATGTGTGTTCGCGCTATGTAAAAGAATGACACTGGGGGGGAGCGTGAAGCTTCCTTCCTCCCGTCTCCCCTTCTGTGTATGTGCATGCGAGTGTCTGTGTCATCTTCCTTTTTCTTCCCTGCCACCCAACTCACTGGCAGAAGAAAATACAGTGGTACCTTGGTTTAAGGACAGTTTAGTGTATGAACAACTTGGATTAAGAATGCTAAAAGTAGGTGTTTTGGTTTGTGAACTTTGCCTTGGAAGCAAAACGTGTTCCGCTTCCTGTTGAGTGTGTTCCATTTGTAAACTGAGTCCCTCGCTGCTATGGGAAAGCACACCTTGGTTTAAGAACGCTTTGGTTTAAGAACAGACTCCCGGAACGGATTACGCTTGTAAACCAAGGTACCACTGTCAGTGTTTCCATTTTTACTTTCCGGTGTTTACATTGTTGTCTTCCCCAAAACAGCTTCCCTCCATATTTTAGGGGAAACGTGCAAATTAAAAAAATATCTGTACTATAAAGTAACAGTTGTAACAATACATTAAGTAGAAGCAATAGCAGGGACAGGACCTCATCCGCCTCTACATAGTTCCATCCTTATTTCAGATATCATGATATATTGCAATGTTTAGCTGGTGATATATCCCAAGGCTTTCCCAAAATTCAGGCTCCTCGGCAGGGGAAGGAAACGGCTTTATTATACACCTTTAGCTGCCTGGCAAAAACGTTCCTCTTTAGCCAGGCCTTTGGCAGATTGAAATCCAAAGCCCTTTTAAAATGTGTCAGGGAGAGGAGGGTTATTGGGGTGGGTTTTGTTTTTATTGTGTAAGACATGTGGGTATAGGGTGGTATACAAATTTAATAAGAAGAAGACGACAAAGGCTATATTCCCATGAACGAAAGTGGTGGGGAAGCAGATACAGTGGTACCTCGGTTTAAGAACAGCCCTGTTTGCGAACTATTCGGTTTACAAACTCCGCAAAACCGGAAGCAGTGTCCGGGTTTGCAAACTTTACCTCGGTTTAGGAACGGAAGCCAAATGGTGGAAGGGCACTGGCGGCGGGAGGCCTCATTAGGGAAAGCGAGCCTTGGTTTAAGAACAGTTTCAGTTTAAGAACAGACTTCCAGAACAGATCAAGTTTGTAAACCGAGATACCACTGTATTGGCAACAGGCAGAGCCAAAGCTGAAAGGTTTTTTTATGGAGGGAGGGGGGCGTTTCCATCCCTCCACAAGTCATTTCAGTCACCTTTTCTCTGAGCTCTTCCCCAGCCCCCACTGCATAACTGTTGGCCCCCTTTTCTACTTCCCCCCTAAACCTAGTTGTCATATAGCGAGGACAATTTTCAGGGAGCATTATCGCTCCCCTCCTTTCTGCTCCCCCCCCCAAATAAGCCCCCCACCAGCACAGCAAGGGATGTGGGGGGCACTGTGGGTTAAACCGCAGAGACTCTTGGGCTTGCCGATCAGAAGGTCGGCGGTTCGAATCCCCGCGATGGGGTGAGCTCCCGTCGCTCGGTCCCTGCCCCTGCCAACCTAGCAGTTCAAAAGCACACCAGTGCAAGTAGATAAATAGGTACCACTCTGGCGGGAAGGTAAATGGCGTTTCCGTGCGCTGCTCTGGTTTGCCAGAAGCGGCTTAGTCATGCTGGCCACATGACCCAGAA